TCTTTAAGGAGTTGTCAGCCGCTCCTAAAGTGGAAAAAGAAAAAAGAATGAACCGAGCGAGGGCTTATTTGAAGAGTCGTCTGCCGCTCTTGAAGAAGAAAAAAAAATGAATGAATAGACCGAAGGCTTATTTTAAGAGTCGTCTGCCGCTCTTGAAGAAGAAAAAAATGAATGAATGGACCGAAGGCTTATTTTACGAGTCGTCTGCCGCTCTATGAGAATAAAGATTAAGAGGGGTAAACCTCAAAGTAAAAACTACGAGCTTTAGGACTCGAAGCGAAGATACGCCTAAGAGCGAAAGGGATCGGGGCAAAAGTAGCGGCCTAAGAGCGGAAGGGCTCGGGGCAAAAGTAAAGGCTAGGAGCGGTGGGGCTCAAAGCAAAGTTTAAAAAAAGATATACAAGTGAAGATGAGATGGTTTATGATGATTATGGAAATACACTATTACTGATTCCTGAAGAGTGTAATCGCAGTAGGATTTTCAAGGTTTAAGTTACGGGTTGTTGGTTTGGAAACGATAAAAGTAGATTTCGGAGCTCATCAGCGGTTTGGTTGATTTCAAAAGTTGCGTTTCGAATTTTGAGTTCGTATATAATTTCAGGTTTATTTAATTGTTCCATATTGTGAAGAAATTTAGAAATGAGTATTTATGTTAGGATGAAAATCTTTTTCGTATTATTCTTTAGGAATAAATATTTCAAAATTAAATTTTGGTAGTAATAAACGAAGAAAATAAATTTTGACAGTATGTCAAAAATTTGAATAAGAATAAAATTTGAATTACTATAAATACTACAATGAGATGTAATTATGTGGTTTGTAATGTTGAGGAGCAACAGTGACTTGCAGGGATACTCTCCCAAACAAGCTGTAAGTCAGTATCGTCTTCGCTTGGAATAACCGAATGTTTAAACTCCAAGTTTCAACGACTTGTGTACACATGGGTAGATATCGAAATATGAAGAAAGTGTACTGTAGGAGTTTTTGGATAGTTTTATGTTTGATAGGACTATGTTTGAAGTGCTACCGGTACACCAACTATGGGTTCAATTACATTTGTAACCAGCTGAATGTAACGGCAGTCGTCTCTTGTCTGTAATATGAGGTGTGTAGGTGATTTGCAGTGTAAATGATTTATGTGATGACACTTTTTGCACTTTGACAGTTCATGAATAAAATATTTCACTGTGTTTTTTTCTTATTTTAGCTTGGGGTTTTCTTCTCAAAGTTCGGCCAATGAAAGGGTTCTTGAGAATTAGTTCGGGCGCCAGTGAAAAGCGCCAGAAAGCGCCAAAAAGCGTTTGTACAAATCTTTATATTCGTGTAATAGCCAGGGTTTCAATGGCGGCACCATTACATCCGGGTTTACGGCTCCATTTTTGGTCGAAAAACTATTGCAGCAAATTTTTGATAATTCTTTTGCTCCGACTGTTGTATTATGTTTTGTATTATAACTTGGTAAAGATCAAAAATAAGATTTTAGTAAATGGAATTTGGTACAGCTCCGACTGTTGTGGCGGTCGAGCTTGGAGTCACCGTGGTACGAAAACAAAATGAGAAAGTGAAGGAAGATGGAACAATTCAAATTTAAAATTTAAATACATGTAAAATAAAAAAAAAATGATAGGATACAAGCGGAGAGAAGCGATATTAAGAGGTGAGATGACGGTGTAAGGAGGTCACGCCGTCACAACTTTAGTAACAGGCTCTATATCCAAATCACGATGCAGATCCTCATTTCGTATATACCAAGGAGCACCCATAATTGTCCTCGGTATTTTATTTTGGAACCGTTGTATTGTTTGTATGTTGCTTTTAGCGGCACAGCCTCAGAGCTGGATATCATAGGTCCACACTGGCATAAGGACCTGTTTATACAATAATACTTTATTGCATACAGATAGTGAAGAGCACTTGCCAAACAGCCAATACATTTTCTTTAAACGTATGTCTAATTCTTCTTTTTTTTTGAAGCGTAGCTTCACGTCGAGGGTCATATCGAGATATTTGGCGGTATGTGCGTAGGGTACCTGTTTGTTTCCAATGTACAATGGACAGTAGACAATTTTTTTGTAACTGAAGTCAGTGTGCACTGATTTAGTTTCATTTAGCTTTATTCGCCACTTATGGAATTGGTTAATGGCTTTTTGAACTTTTTGAGCTCTTTGACCGCTTCCTTGTGGTTGTTTCCTACAGTCATAATTGCTGTGTCATCCGCAAAAGTAGCGATGGTATTGTCAATTGGTTCTGGTATATCGTTTGTATATAAAAGGTAAAGAATTGGGCCCAAGACCTTGTGGCACTTCCGCTTTTATTTTTAGCTCCGAATATGCGTCTTTTACCTACTGGTTAAATATGATTCCAGAAGATTTGCATGTTGATATGGAAGTATATTTCTTAACTTATGAATTAGACCTTTGTGCCACACTTTATCAAAAGCTTGTGCAACATCTAAAAAGATTGCGGAGCAAACTTTCTTTTCCACCATTGCTTTTTCTATGGTATTGGATATTCTGTGTACTTGATCAATAGTGAAATGACTTTCTCTAAAACCGAATTGGTGATCTGGTATAAGTTTATTTTCATATTCCACAATTCAGGAACGTATTCTAATCTAAAGGCGGCATTTATTAGTGTAGTCAGTTTTACTACTGCTTTTCGAGGCAGATTATGTAGAATTTCACCAGAAATAATAAGGTCGTATCCAGGAGATGTGTTTTTATTAATTTTCATTTTTATTTCTCTTTGTAGGTACTTCCCTGGGCGTAACAAGTTTTATTTCTCCAGCGAGTTGTTGTGACGAGTTTATTTTTCCTAGAACTAAATCAGTAGATTCTGATTGATTTGGTTGAAATATTTTTTCCAAATGTTCAGCAAATCTTTTGGCTTTTTGTTCATTGCTTATGGCCCACGTATCGTTTGACCCTATAATAGGAGATACTTGAGTTATCGGTCTTTTCAAGTTTTTTGTTACCTTCCAGAGTGAGTAATCTGTAGATCGATCATTTGTTAGATGCTGTAGATAAGTCTTTATGGACTCATCCTTAAAACTCTTTATTTTTCTCCTCAATCTTTTTGTAAGAGTGTTCAGCAATCTCTTATCATCTGGTGACCTACTCTGATGCCATAGATTCTTCCGTTTTCGTTTTAGTTTTAATAGATTTGTTATTTCCTTGGGATAGGTGGGGCCTTTAGTCCGCCTACGAATGTACTACGGAACGGAATGGGAGTGAATTTATGTAACGATATTGTACGTAGTGTAATGAACTTTGTGGTCGATTATGTAACGTACAAACAACATACGAGCCAAAAATCACGTCACGCGCCTTCCGCGGAATTCTCGCGAATGCGCGAGAAGTCAGCTGAAGTTCGTCGGCGACGCCTGGCGAATCCTCGGCAGTCGCGTGAAGGCAAGCGCAACAGACTTCAAACATCGACGAAATACTAGGTACAGCGTCAAGCTGAGCGCCTCATCGAATGCTCGAGCATTCTAACCACCGCGGGCGCCTTCTCGCGCCGCGAGCCAAAATCAACGTTTCCGTGCCATTCCGTTCCGCCGCAATGTAAATTGAGTATAAAAGTTTACTTTTAAGAGGGAGCAGAGGAAAAATTCCTAATCTTCAATTTGATTTTAGAGGGGTATATCCACTTTAAACTTAAAAATAAAATATTGTATGAGTAACTACACGATATATAGAAGCATAGACATTAATCAGAAACATAAAATAATAAAGTTTCCTCGATGGATAAAAATCACGAAATGACCTCTAATTTTCACATTTTTTCGATTTATCCTCGAAATGCTATAGATTATTAGGACTAAAATTAGATAACTAATTATATTTATGCATGATCGAGAACTGTCACTACGGATTTTTTTTAATGCCTTTAGTTTTAGAGTTATTCCGCTAAAACGAATTTGGTACTTTTAATGCGCAAAATTCAACATCTCCTGTCGCATGTCATGCGAACTTCAGGCATATATTTGTTTCACAAATTTGAGCGGGCCAACGTCAAAACTTTTTTGGCATGAGAGCTCACAACTGTTTTAATGTGGTATAGAGATCCATTTAATGGTTTGTTACATTTCTATATTTTGAATTTAACAAACTTAATGATCTTACGTGCGTATTATAACTTAACAAATAATTTTTTTTTTGCTTGTTTGCTGATAGCCAATAACCCTTTTTTACATAATACTATGTACTTAGACGATGGAAAAAAAAGACTATGTACGTACTACAGTATAAAATCTTTGCAGCCTTAGCCTTTGACATTTTATGTTTGTATAGAATATTCTGTATCCAAACGCGCAACTTATAGCAGTGTTGCCAGGTTACATTTCTTACTTTTTTGTATTTAGGTAACTTTTGCCTAAGGGGCAACTTTTGTAACTTACCTTGAGTGTGTTGTTGACACACGTTGCACAACAGGATTTATATAAATGCAAATTGGATGATACAAGGAGATAGAGAGATGCAAAGAAAGAAATAGTTAGAAATAATTAAGAAATATAGAAATTTGAAAAAAGCAAAAAAAATTTGATTTTATTGTTTTTTATTTCACTAATGTGTTGTATTACTTAATATTATGCACAGGAAAAAATGAACAGTGTTTTTTTTGTCACCTGTATAATATAACAAGACATTGTGCGGGTTTACTTGTGCATATTAAAGTAACAAAATGTAAATCATAAAAAATGTACGGTTTCATCCGTACATTACAAAAAATTAAATTAAGGGGTAAAAAAATAGGCATTATGAAAATAAGACAGTTTTTTAAATTCAGCAGTATTTGTTACTGTAAATCCTGAATAGTTTACGAACACACTCAAATTAGACAATAAAATAACTCAGACATGGCCCAAATAAAATTAAATCCATCAACTATTTAGAGCTTGATTTTTCTTGACCGTACTTTTTTACAAAAACTAACTTGTAAAATGTAACTTTTGCAGCGAAAATGTAACTATTCAGTATCGAAATGTAATTTTCGACTCCAGAGCCCTGGCAACACTGCCTGACAAATCTGTCATCCCCTTGATATATCAAAATTTTTCTTCACCGTTTTATCTCTGCATTTTCGTTAAGCATATAGAGTTCGTTCTACGCTTAATCAGAATTCCCTTTGGCAAGAAGTCTATGTGTAAGTGTATTACCAATAACGAAAAGAATATTGGCGTACAGTGTGAACTTGATCGCATATAGTAGTGTCAACATTCTAACGTTGAAATCACTCGAGCCTAACCTTTTAAACAAAACCTGTGACCTCAGGCTTGCTTACTGAACGTTGTTCTAGGATTTGATGGATCCTTGGGGCAGCGAAATTGCAGATTCCGCTGACGTTGCATCTAAGTTCGAGGACGACTTTACTCCAGAAGCTGAACCTGAGAAATTGGCAGACTCAGCCGAATATCTCGCTATTCTAGGTAATTAAAACGCAATTTAACATCGATTAATAGTTTTTATTTGATTAAGTGAGTATTTCACAAAGTTACGACAGATTTCGATGTCCTTTTTGAGGGGGTTTTATATTTCACTCTTAATATCGAATTTCGTGGTTTACGCGTTCGTATCATATATCAGATAGGGTATAAACCTAGTTGATAGCCGTCAGTTCACTGCACTCTGTCATGGTGAGAACACGTTTTTTACTTACTAAAATTAATTAAAGAAAATTAAAGTTTTACACTGTCACGTACCTTCACACTCACACCAGTGTGACTGTATTTTTATTCAAACGTAGTACATCGTTGTATTACTTTATATAATATTATAATCAAACAAAATCAATTAATTGAACAAAATTGTTTATATTAACCTTCTAATGGACAGTATGTAAATAGTACTTACTGCACACTAAAATGGGTGCTTGTATTGATTAATATAAAATTTCAATCCATTATACCGGAAAAGTAAACAAACCGGTTTGGTTAAAATTCTAAAGCAAGCAATTGCTCAATTAATGGAATAAGTAACACTTTCATGTATATTTTGAAGGTTTTGACTTGATATCATTCATCAGTTTTTCCAGCATTATTCCTTTGAATAACATTAAAATCTTATTTGAAAAATGTTAATTGAAAAGTGAGGTATTTTCGGTATATAGAATTGTGAATAGTTTATCATATCATAAATTATTAGGTTGCTCAGGCTCTATGGAAATAAGTCATTCGGTTCATTCAATTGAAGGTTTTGTGATTGATTAGTGTATCGAAAATTTAATCACAATTGAACAAGTATCTAAGTGTAAGGATTTCAAGGAGGGTCCCTCATACTATCTTATTCTGATATTTAATTTTATGGTAAATGCTATTACTGTCCAGGGTTTAATAAATATTCTCATATTAAAGTTTTTTGTGGTTTTGTTTAGTTTTTTGGGATTATCTTAAGTAGTGAGTAAGTAGTGAATAAGTAAGTAAGTTAAGTAGTAAGTAGTGAATTTTTAATTACAGAGAGGAAGCTAAAAGCAGTCCAAAACAAGAACAAGGTTGTTGAAAACCTATCTGCGTACAGGGAAGATTGTCTCAACCGCTTGATGCGAGACGGTTGCGATCTTGACCCAGTTATCGGAGACACGGACAGTGAGAAACTTATTCAAGACCAAGAATAAAAAGTTGTAAGTAGTCATGGCTTCTTCATCATCATGTAGCATTGATGTGTCGAAAGCCACTTATGTTGCCCTCTCTGGAGCATCCCAAGGTATTGGTAGAGCTATTGCTGTTGAGGTCTCTAAAGCACTTGGCCCAAATTCCGTAATGCTCTTACTGGCCCGTAACAAAGAAGAGCTAGCTAAAACTGCAAGTGCATGCGAATCTAAGAATGTGAAAGTTGTCTGTACTCCAATAGACCTTTCAATGGCAACTGAAAAAGAGTTGTTCGATGTCATTGATGCTTCTTTAAAAGGTTATGACATAACAGATTTTAATAAATGCCTCATATTTCACAATGTGGGCTCACTTGGCAATTTGGCTGTTGAGACGGGTAAGATGGACAATGTTCAAGAGTTGAGGCAATATTTCGATCTCAACGTGTTCAAAGTAATATCTTTGAATACTCAGTTCCTTAAGATCTTCGAGGAAGTAGAATCGAGAGTTGTTATTGTGAATATCACATCTTTGTGTGCGATTAAACCCATGGGAGGGATGGCGTACTATTGCAGTGGAAAAGCAGCTAGAGAAATGTACTTTAAGGTACTTGCTGAAGAGAAAAAACACATTAAGGTGCTGAATTACTCCCCTGGTCCTGTTGAGACTGCTATGATTGATTACGTACTTGCTCAGGCAGTTAATGACAACTTGAAAGAAGTGTTCGCATCATTCAAAAGTCAAGGCACACTCTTAAAGCCCGAGGCAACAGCTAAAAAATGTTTGAGAGTGTTGCTCGCTGGGAAGTTCTCACCTGGAGAACATGTTGATTATTTTGATGACGAATTGTAAGGTTAAGATTGTCATTGTGTGGAATCATAATTATTGTTCTTGTATGGCATTCTTAACAAGTCTCATTGAGACTTCTTGTGCTCTATCTTGTAGCTTTCTTACTCGAAATATTTCCAAATTTATACATTTTTAGACATTCCTAAATCATACTCCTCTAGAAAGTGTATTGCATTTTTTATTAGACACAATGTTAGGTAATCTTGTAAGTTAAATCAGTGAAATCTTTACATTCTAAAACATTAGTATCTTCAATAACTTATTTATTTCTGTTTTTATATATATAAATATATTTGTGTCTAATGAAAGTGTATTTAATTGAACATTCCGTAATATATGTACCTCTATGTTATTAGATCTGTATGTAACCTGAATATGTATTTGAAGATATAGTATATGAATGCAATTCATATAAAATAAATGCTTGAAATATGATGTCGTTTTTAATACTACCCTCTGTCTTATTATTTTGTTTTTAACTTAAATGAGTTACATTCATATGTTTTCTTAACATTATCTTCTTATCTCCGTATCCCTGAACTTCTCACCTTACATTAAAGTTTTATTCATCTTTTTATATATTGACATGATTGCATCATCATTCTCATTCCATATTACATATCAGTGCAGTGTATGGGTGTTCTCTGAGTTCAGGTCAAATTATAATTAAATAAATAGGACTTTATTCATCAAACACACAACAATACACTCCGCCGCTCTGCATTTTCAGTATTGAATGGCCCAAGCTGCCAAGCTTAAACAATGTTTGATTGATCAAAAACTATTAGGCTCTTTTGAAATTGGTATACTAAACTTCATTTTGGCTGCCTCGGTGGTAGAACGGTTACCATGCTGGACTGCCACACAGAGGTCCCGGGTTCGATTCCCGGGCCGAGAGAAATGTTTGTAAGGGTTACATTTATTTCTCTCGTAAGTTTGGGTGTAATTTGTTGTTGTCTATGTGTGTGTCCATGGCACCCGCGACACGGTTTCCCTAGTGCGGGGCTATGTTGAGTGCGTGCGTTTAAAAAAAAAATCCATAAGTAATTGTTGGAAAACTTTAATTTATAAAACATGGAACAAGGGTTATTGTGACAACAATATTTTTGTGTTCTGTCCTATGGTGGCTCGATTTATCTGATTTCTATTTTTAATATGTTGATGAAAAGGAATAAGCCCCAGCATAGTGCTATTTTTCAGTCTCCGCCTGTGTTCTCTGTCGGACATTGTCGGAACATTTTGAAGAAATGGTTGTAAACAGCCATTATTGTCGGTTGGCGACGTGGTAGTAGGATAATACAACTTGATTCAATATTGCCCACTTACTTCTTTACCTTTCAAAAAGGCTTCTCGTTAAATAACATAGCTTTAAAATGTATGTCAAGGAAGTAGCGGAACTATAATACTACCGCAAACCCAAAATAAATTTTAAACCAAAGTAAATCAATGTCAGTCACTTATTTACAAATACAACATGTATAATTAGGCCATAGAACGTGCCTTCGTTCGTAACTGACCAAGGATATGTTTTATTTTTCTCTTGCCTTTACATTCTTGTCCACAGTTCCTTTTCGCCTTGCTCTTGCTGTTTGATATACACGTAGCATTAATATAACATGACGTCAAACTATAACTCTACATTACCATGTGTGCAAATACAACATGTATAATTAGGCCATAGAACGTGCCTTCGTTCGTAACTGATCAAGGATATGTCTTATTTTTCTCTTGCCTTTACATTCTTGTCCACATTTCCTTTTCGCCTTGCTCTTGCTGTTTGATATACACGTAGCATGAATATAACATGACGTCAAACTATAACACTACATTACCATTTTTACTAGCACTATCTCTCATATACCTAAGTCATAAAAGCGCCTAAGTACATGGCGTATTTTTTAAGCATAGACGTTCGCTTTTAACGAACGCGTTTGCGTCGCCCGCCGGCGCCGTAGAGGCGATTCAAACGCGCGTACAAAGCTATACAAAGAAGCGCGTTTGAAATTCGTTTGTATCGCTTTTTACGTGCGTTCACGCCCTCACACCCTTAGTTATCTATACCATAGTATAATAAAGCAAGTGTGGTAATTCACGCATGTGCACGTCGGCCGCGCGCTGTGTACGGTCGCAAACATTCACATAATCAATTATTGTGGATGGTAATGAATGGTCTATGCGACGCGAATGCATCGTGAGAATATGCGAATGTGTGCGTTCGACACGGTAGTGATGCAACGCAAGTGTCATAACGGAAACAGAAACGGAAAAAGAAGTCGCAAGTAAATCATAGCGGAAGCGGAAGTGTGTAAATAATATGAAGATCTCAACAAAATGGTTCCAAACAGGGCTTGTGATTGGTTTTATAATTGCACTTAACACAACAGAAAACTGCTGAGATCCACTCGCCTTACCGCCAAGCATTACGCGCACGTGCCTGATCTACCGCGAACATTATAAACTTCCATCGAGTATATAACCAGAAATAGAGACGAAATAAGGGCCATTCATCCCTGGTAACTCATCAGGTAAATGGGCCTTATATCACCTTTGAATATCAACTATCGTTTGCGCTGAAATCACGAATTAGAAAGATGAAATAGTACACAGTGCCAATAACTGACCTGTATGTACGTCACCGTATATTCCGAAAATATTCTGTATTTATTGTAATAAAGATAGTATCCTAACAATGGGGAGCTGTTCCATTCGGTGGTGTGGGAAAAACAGCAAATCTAATTACAAAAGAAACGGAATAACATTTCATTGGTAATTAAATATTAAATTTGTAATTTTTCATTTTTCGTCCATTATAGCGAAGCTCAAGTTAAACTGATCGATTTGAAGTGAGACAATTGACGATACCCGTCAATTGTTTCGAATTCGGGCTGGCCAATCGGAGCGCAGTTGTCACCGTAATGATTTGGCAGAATAGTTTTAAGACAAATTAAATGACACTTCCTATCTATTTCTGGTTATATACTCGATGTAAACGTTCGATAAAAGTTGCGAGAGCAGAAACGGGAACAGATGTGAAAAAGCGTCCGGAATTTCTGCAGTTGCGGAAGCAGAAATCTGTTGCATCACTAGTACATGGCACGCGGTGGGCGAGCACACTTACTAGCCCCGCTGTTACGTTTGTTATAGTCCTCCTTATCGATTTCGATAACAGCGAAGTCAACAAATCATTGTATATACAAGTTTACGCATACAGATACAACAAACTGTTCAAAACGTTCAACAGACTGATCGGGTAGGTAAGTATTCCGCAGCCTCAGCACGCGCATCTTGCTGGAACTCGACCGCCAACATAGTGAAATGACAACAACATGATTGGTCAGCCGTCGCTTGTCGAAGGAAGGCGTACCTTCCTTCCTACGGACTAGACGGAGACTGCATGCGCGAAGTCTATGTATACTTAATGCAGTCGAAACTGACTATGCCTATATATACAGTCGACTCCAAGCAGTAATCGCCGCGCGCCTATTTCAGGGGGCCTAGTTTATGTATTCAGAAAATTTCAAACAAACGCAGACTTTACTTTTTATTAAGGAAATAAACTGTCACTGAAACTGTGTGTGTCACTGTCGAAATCCTCAATTTTTGCAAAATCGCGTTGGTAATCTCATCCTACAATACCTACTCTGCGGTGGAATTTGGAATCAAAAATGTAAACAAAGGTGCTGCTACAAAAAAATATGTTTTAAGTATTGTCCAAATTATCCGTCAGAAAAGTTTTACTAGTTTTTTTGTTTTTCCATTAAAGTGATATCAACTCTCAGATAATAGTTACCTTAAAGATCAAGTAGTTTCAGACACAAAAAATGGTATATTCTGTTAAAAATATCAACTGTTACTTTTGATTCTCGGACTATCATTCACATCCACTGCAGCCGACGCTTGCAGTTTAACTCTCGACTGCACACAGTTGAACTTTCGACAGCATGCAGTCCAATCTATTCATCATTGTATGTTACCGTACTCAGTTGAGAAACATGGGCGATAATGTTTATAATGTTTGCGTTGCAGATTTATAATAATGACGACAGGGCGTAAGTCCTTGTTCATCTTCCTGATGGGTCTAGCGTGGCGCTGCAGGTACAGTATGCCACTTCTGTTGAGCGGCAGCGTGGCGATCCTCGGCCACGCCTGGATGTTCCAGATCCGAGTACACACGGTGCACAGGCTTCATGAGAACGAGGTAAATAATTAGGCAGTCGTAAGGTGACATTTGGTAGGTAGCTGTGGAAATTACAGGCACATAGGATTTGCCAACTTATACCTCTGTGTGACAGACGCAATGACAGTGTCCCCCAGATCTTTGCGATTTAAAATCTGAATTATAAAACAGTTCATGTCGTCATCAACTACCATAATTGTAATTTTATGTTAAAAATAATAGTGTTTGTTTTTAATAAAAAATACATGTTAATATTATGAATAAAAATAAACTGGATGTTTTTGACAATCGTCTTCACAAAGCCACAAATTCATTTAAGGTCAAGTATACGTCTCTAGCCGACTTAGGTGGCCCACCGGTTTGCGCTGTGGGTGCTGAATAAGGAGGTACCGGATTCGATTCCCGGTAGCACTCATTTGGGAAATGAACTTTTCAAAATCGATTCTACTCGTGAGTGTTCTGGATAGTGCCCTGCAGTGAATTTATAGTACAATGAATGTTGTTGATGAATGAAGGCGAGGTATTCCAACGCGATACATTTTAGAAGGTGAGGTGTGGGGGACCAGACCTCGCTTCGCCGAACTACCCGCGCGCTGAAAATTAATATGAATAAAATAAATGCGGACGAAATTTGACACGGATCCGACGTCGACAAGCCCCCAATGTTGACCGACGGGGCAGCGGGAGGCGCGGCGTGTCATTAAACTGCGTGGCGATTTTCAAATTTTGGGATAAATTCGAATTTAACAACTATAGGGTTTCAGTTGAAAATTTAGCAGCAGGTTCTCTGTAGGTACTTATAGAGAAAAGAAATTATGTGCGAAGTTAGACATTTTGTTCTTAAACAATTCGTTTTAGACATTTATTTTAGCATGTTTGCAGGATTTTATATGATCGGATAAAGTACATCCTATCGTGTAACAAATTAGCACATTCTTGAGACAATGTCTTTAGGTGTATGGTATATTTTTTGTAAGTTCATTATTTTTTGATAGTAAATACATAAACCATTTGATCTAGCAAAATAGTTTTTCCCGCTTCTCTTAAGTTTTAGTGTAGCTTCTATGTCCTTGGATGACTAAAATCCATGGTAATCAAATCCAAGGTAGTGACCCTTTTAACTCTTGCAGGTTGTCGCGATCTATGATAATTGAAATTAATATCGTAAATGGCAAATGTGTACAAATGATTATTAAAGAACAACCCCAAGAGTTTCTTAATCATTCTTTTTAGGGAAATCTGCCTTTCGAATGAGAAGATTTCAAGTGTAATTTGCTTACCTATGAAATAAAGATTATTTTAGTTTGGGCGCATTTTGAGGAGGATAGTGTAATACCAATGTAAGCTGACCCGTCGCTAATAGCAAATCTATAATGTCAAATAAATTGGCAAATACAGGGTGACAGATTGAACGAAATAAATTCTCGGGCTTAGCAGAATGTCAATATACGTTGCTCTAATCGAGCAGCAATTACGCTGAGGTAATGCACATGCATTCGTTGCGAGCTATTATTGTAATGCCTTCATTGACCTACCAATAAATGGACGTCAGGTTCGCGCTAAAAAGTGTCCGCACCTGTAGGGCGTTAAAATCGCATACAGAGCGTCAATCGCGCAATAGTCTTCGTTTGTTCAAGTGACAGCGCGGTTGTCAATCATGCAGTACCAATAATAATAACTTGTAAAAATTACTGCAGTAAAGTGTAAAAACAGGATTTTGTATCATATTTTCACTAAACATATATATTGTGTTATCATAAGTGTCATTTAAAAGTGTTATTAAGTACAATTTTATAGTATTTAATTTATATATAACTGAATCATAAATATAAATTACAAAAGCACACGGAATAATGAAATAGCTAACTGGTTTTTTCAACTTGCGCAAAAGGTGGAAAGAGACCCATTATGTCAGTTTCAAGAAGCTTCTTGGTCATTTTCAATTGTTTGAACCACAAGCGATTGAAATATTTAGAACAAAAAAACTGTAGATTTGCTTTGATTTTAATCCTATTTTATTTTTAAAATGATTTTTTTATTAAACGTTAGCAATAACTAACAAAATATTGTTGTACTCGTTTTACGGCATGGGATTACCTATCAGATGTCAGAAAATACATTTGCCCGAAATAACATTAGCTCGAATTTTTATAACGTGTTTTTACGAAGATTACCAAAACAAAAGCTAATTTTGTCTATGTAAAAAGCATCAAAATTACTCGAAAGCGTAACGGTTTTGTTATAAATCGGAATTACGGATATTTGAGTTTACGTGTAGTTAGAGTATCGGTACATTTCTTATAGTACACGCTTATTTTCACATTTGTAGTAATATTTGTATGTATGTATCTGCCCAACTCTTTATTATACCTTTAAGTGAATTTGTACAAAATTTGACATAATAATTTCTCGTAAAAATTTATATTTACGAGAAAGGCTATTCCATTACTCTTGTGTTCAAGTAATTTTCAGTCGAAGCTAAATATGGTGCATTTTGTTAAGTTTCCGGTAGAAGCTGAATATGGTGTTTTTGGGCCCTTGAATTGTTGTAAGCAAATTTATATAAATGTTTTAGTTTTTTTATATCTCGTTACATGTCACTACGTTTGTATAAGTTAACCTCGGACATTTTTTTCGTGGTTTTTGTATTAGGCCCGATGATCATTTGTTGGTAGGTCAATGAATGCCTTACATATTTCAGTGTTTGTCCTTTTTGTTATTTGATCTGTTGTTTTTAAAATGTAAAAATAATGATATCTTGTTTTAATCCTTATATTGTTTTTTGGATTATTTTTTTATTTTTGTTTATGTGTATCGCATGTATGTGTTTTGTGATAAATAAACCATTTATCTTATCTAATCTATCTATCTATTTAAAGAGGCAAACGAGTAGCTGATATCTAATCCGAATAAGTAAAAAGAATCGTCCCTCTACGTAAGAAAAAAAAAGTGTGCCATTTTATAAATAACACACTTCATTTGGGCTACTCTATGAGACAGAACAGCTGAGCGGTAGGAAATTTAATTCCCGCGTGTAAAGAGTACTATTAAAAATAATTCCATTTTCCTGTCATACCTTGCTTAGGGCAGACAAAACTGAGTCCTAACATCAATGTGTAGGATGGAGTACGCGAACTAAGGAACGTTCCTCGGTATAGGGTACCACAAGCTCTTAATTTCATTGTCTTTTCGCATCATGACGCGCTTAAAGTAAGGTTATTATAATTTTAAAATAATAATGCTTTATGAGCAGCTTTGTGAATATTCATTTACTGAAGTCTTACCATGACGCGGTTTTGACATTAAAGTAATATTACTCTTATGTCAAATTTAGCAATCTTAAAATATTTACTCGGACATAGTGGAAACAATGTTAATTTCGAATTTATTGTCTAAATACTGATAATTGACGCTTAAACGTTACGTCAAACTTATTTATTTACACAAATCTCTTCAGTATTGTATTTATTTAATACTACATAGGAAATATTTTTTCGGTAATTATAAATGTGCGATGTTTATTTCTCGACTTATTATTGTTTCCTTAATGGCGGCATTTGAAAATTTTGAACAACTATGACAGGGACAATAACAGTTGACTCTAGTCTAGGTCCGAATTCACATTGCGACAGTCAAGTTTCACTTTGTTTTATTTATTTTTCTAGGTGGAAATGAGAAAAAATGATTGAAAACGTAATGTTAATACATTTGATTATTACATAGTTTTCTTTTTTTGGCAGTTAAATAATTCTCTGAATATAAATAATTCGTATAGTAACTATGTAAAAGTTTAAATACTTTACCATTGCACTATATTAAGACGAATCGGACCACCAAAAATGAAAGAGATAGCATTATACAGTTCATATAGCGTCATTTCTTTCATACTTTTAGTAAAGAATAGACAATCTAGAGAAATCATTCGTTCTTCCCATCACTTTAGCAATATACATTACTTGATTGACAGGTGTGTTATGTACGTATGCACGTTGCCTCGAATGTCCGAATATAGTGAGCAAATAATTGCATACATCGCCGGATACGTAGTACGAGTAATACAAAAAAATATATAATGGAAAGAATTAATAACAACAACCCGGAGTTGATCATATGTAAGATTTCGTTGCCTTCGAGGACGAAGGTGGTCTAGTTTATTCCACCTAAGGTGCTATCCAACTATGCAGAGTAGCAGAGTTAGAAATCCGAGAAATAATAAACAAATCACAAAAATTTCACACGACGCCGTCATTAAGTAAACCTCTTCTGATTAATAAGATTTTGCCATATTTTGTCAGCAGTAACATTTTTATTTGTCTTGGCATTCATCAATTTGATCAATTCCCAACAGAAATCTAGTAAAAGTAATTAAGGCAGTCGCAAGTTCATATACTGACATGCGTATTCATTATTTAGGTTAATCGATAAGATCTTCTATTACAAAAAGATGCTATATAATAAGCTCATTTTATCGGAAGGACAATAATTTCAACATTTTTTAAAAACAACTTAAATAAAGGACTTAACTATCTTATTCTAGTATTTTTCTCCTATATTATTATTACGACTATTTGTAATCAACAAATACTTCAACAAAAAATATTTTATTTAGAATCGATTAATTGTTTACGCGTATTCCGTTCAATCAATCGATTTAGAGAGATCATAGTGGGTACAAAAAATGTGGCACGCTTGGTTTACATACAAATTGTTGTACTTGCGGCGTCTATCTAGATATGTGTCTGTGGTTATGCACTTCACTGAAGTACACAGGCTACACAGTTCGACCTGTCATACTGTATATGCTTAAAGTTCTATCTGCGATCCTAATGTTTATAACTGTTTCAGCTGGGTTACTACGATGATGAGGAAGATCAAGACGACGAGGACGATGGCTCGTGGGTGACAGAGTCCACAGACTCCTGGGAGACTATGGTCGAGGAGGTGGCATATGGTTGATGACCCGGCATGCAAAACGAGATTAATTGTGGATTTTTTTAGAATTTAATGTCTATTTGGACTCTCGTCATTTTCCTGGATTTTAAAGAATACTTACCACACTAGCGTTGACGTCAATAAACAATACTAATAATAAATAGAGTGAAAATTGGAGAGCTTAAAAACTAATTTGTCAAAATTATTAACTTGGCAATTTTCAAGGCCCTAAAAATATAAATTACTTACGACATCCTACACAGTATTCAACTACAGTATTCAACTCCATTTACAATACCGTGGACTAATAACTCGAGGGCTGCTATTTTCCATACTACAGATTGTAATTCCGAAAAGGGTCAAAATTCCATCTTATAGTTTTAGATAAAGTAGTTATGCCCGTAGATATAAATTAATTCCTCTTTAATATGAAATATAAGCAGTCAGTTTTTTTCCTTGTAAAATATTCAAATACTGACCATGAGCTAAGAATATTATGAGTGTCAATAGATGGCATTCTGTGTTACAAACTAATTTATAAATTAGCGCTTCCTAATATGGGTAGATGGCGCTAATCCTAATCTAATTAAAAGAATAGCCGGCAGTATCGATAAAATCTGTGCAATAAGCGCCATCTAGTTGATTTGTTTGTTATCTCTAGTTAAGTATTTTCTATTACAATTATCACACAACTCGCATGCAGGTTACTTGCGAAAACGTATTATACATGTTTTACTTAATGTAATTGTAATTTTACTTCCGGTTCTGTTACTTCCTGATTTGACTGATATACAAATTTACTTTTTTGAAAAATCATGTTTAACTACTTTTGTAAAATTACCCAAGTTCTAAAAGATGGTATATATATGTGCACTCAAAATGGACATTATATTTTATTCTAGTTCAATATGAACATGTATTTTTTTAAATCATAACAAGGGCTTTTTATAATCACACGTATATCTAATTTACTTGCAAACTTTTGAATTTACGTTGTTATGGCGTCACACTTGCGAATTTTTCAAACAAGTTTGCGAATCGTATAATAATCATACATACGTTATTATACGACCTGTCATTTGTCAACTTTGCGAATAAAAACCTTTTGTGCATGGACGCACTATTATAGAACTATTCACTTTTGAAGTGTAAATAAAAACCTCATGTGCATAGACACGTTATTATACAATCATTTACTTTACGACATTGTATATAAAAGCACTATGTGCTTATACACATTATCATATAATCTGTCACTATTCGACTTTGTAAATAATAACCTTGTATATAAACTAGGGCCTTCAATCTCGTTGCATTTCTGCGTCCCGGGAAAAAGTTCAGGAGAAAAGCTCTAAAGTTTTCGAGACTATTTCAAAAGTAGGCATTTGTGCAAGTTATTAAAGTTTTTTATTATAGTCCATTTGTTTAGGTACTTTTAAGTAAATGTAAACAATCTAGAGATGTCTATTTAATGAAATATACATTTATAAAATTATTTTTATATGTTTCAATAATAAGATGTATCAAGATTGTACACATCTAGTTAAGTACCTAAAAAAATGGACTATAGTCATATTATAAAATAGAAAAATATTTATAAAAGGTCTTTTTTTCACTTTTATGTGTAGTGAACACGTAAGAAACAAACAAAGGGCGGTAGTTTCAGATACAGAGCACCTGGTTTTATCATTATCGTTATTCAATCGCCACATATTATAATAAGATCCACTCAACAGTGCTGCCATGTCCATTGTCCATGCAACCAGAATAAAAAATGGTTTTTAGTTTAGTGCATTTCTTAATACAGTTTCATAAGTGACTTAAGTCTCAAACTTCAGTCTCGAGTCAGCCTGAAATTTTCGAGACCAAAATTCCCGGAATTAACCACGTTAGGTTTCGTTCACATGGCATTGTACTGCACTTTTTGCTGTATAAATGTTACCGAATAAACAGTGGCGCTACATTATTGATGTAAAACTTTTCACACGTCGTTTGTACTGTAAAAAAACGCACACCGTGTATTGAATACTCACCGGTCTTATCAAGCAAACCGGAACAACTTTAACGTATTCGGATTGCAGTAGCACATACTTCTGTTACACAGCCGGCGAAACCGTTGGTGTCTTTTATATCAGTATAAAAGAGCAACAAAGTGTGGGCCCGTCATAGTCGGGTACTCAAGGTGATTGCTGTAAGAATATTGCTGCTATTCGTCTTTTAGACTAATGAAAATGCTATGTAAATATCCCGCTGTTTATCCGTTTAAAATTGAATTCTATATAAAACGTGCAGTACAATACCATGTGTACGCAGCCTTAGGCTTTTTCTACTAGTAATTGTGACAGATTGTACATATCCAGCGCTGGCCCGTCGTACCATACTACATAAAAAACCAAAGCCCTTTTTTAGATTGTAATTATTTATTTTATAGGTATAGTAATTATTTTTAGCAGCTTACATGTTTACTTGGCGATGGGTATAAATTGTGTACTTCTTGTTAATCTTTTACAAAGATTGTACCTTCTATTGTGTATAGTGGTTTGTAGAGTCCTAAATTGAGGCTATCAGCGCAAAAGAGGTGTAACTCACTTTTTTTTTATACAATATCGTCGCCTTACTTTCTCAAATTTGTATCTTAAAGCACAAAGTTATTGAAATGCATAAAATGGATTGTATATACTTTTGTACGCTGATTTCACATCATTCTTCATATTCCCACGCTGGCTTTTACCTGTTCTTAAAGTAATGCTTCCAAATTAACACTCTTGACAAGAAATTTAAAATAAATACAAAGTTTTGCCATCTCCTGAATAACCACTCTTTTTAAGATACGAGTTTGAGAAAGTAAGGCATCGATATTACTTTAAATGTCACTAAAGTATGTACATAATTATTTTATATTTGATGCTTTTTTAATACACAAAAAATATTTAATTATTATTTTTTATATACATGAAAAGAGCAATAATAAATATAAACAATATTTAACCAAATCAAATATATAATAATTATAGTTTAGTAGGATTTCAAGTAATATTGAACAAAAAAATTGAATGTGGGTTACACCACTATTGCTTCTGATAGCGTCAATTATCATAAGTAGTAGGTATTTAAGTACAGTATGTAACTAGTGTTTTTTTATATAATGGGCATATACAATTGACGTATAATGTGGCACTGCGCGTACATACGGTAGCAAACTATCCATATGTCGATATTGCAAAGTAACATAGAAAATTGCCATCTTTAATCATGAATTTTTAAGATAACATTTTCAATGAAAAGTTTGAAAGTTTGAAATTTTAGTTTACACCATATACGGTGTTCTCTGTGTAGTGGATGTTTATTAGGGTGTCATTCAAAATAAGTATATATTTTTTTCTGAACATGTTCAGAAATTCTCATAACTTTTTTATTAAAAAATAAAACCGACCTCAAAAGTTTGCATATCGGCTTTTTTTATTGGAATTACATCTATTTGGCAAGTTTTATTGAAATCGGTTAACGAAAAGTGTGCGAAATCGGATTCATCCCCTAGTTTGCCACTCATATAGAGGTAGAATATTTTTTCAATTTTAAATAGGACCAATGTTGAGGTACCCTCTTTTTACCAAAAAATAATCATCAAAATCAGTTAATAAAAAAAGAATACAGTCGAATTGAGAACCTCCTCTTTTTCGATGTTTGTTAAAAATCTAAATATCACTTTCCATATAATTATTTCAACTGATTGATCTTATAGTTCAATTTAGTGAAAGTTGAAAGTTATTAACCACTCTGTGTTACAATAGCTTACTTAGACTTAACCGTCTTTATAAGGAATAGATTCTTAATTTGACTGTTTTGTTTTGTGTGTGTTACGAGATTACGTCGATATTTTTGTAAACCGATTTCGATGATTCTTTTTTTTGTTAGTTAGGGGGTAACTCAGTTGTGGTTACATTTAAATTTGAAGAAAATATTCCAGTTTTTAAGGGTAGCAAATTAGGGAATTAATCATAATTGATAAAATCCAATAAACCATTGGATTTTACCAATTTTCCGTTATACGATTTCAATAAAACTTGTCAATCAAACTTTTGAGCTCGATTCTTTTTATAAAAAGACAATATTAATTATGAATTTAAATTTTTCTGCTTAAGATTATTTGCTGTCGCCATAAACGGTTGGTGTGACCCTCTGTACGTTTCGTCAAGTGCTGTGTAAATCGTAGGGACAAAATAAATTTCTGAATGCCCCACTAATGGGCGCGGGTCTCTAATGCAAGCTCTATGCGGCTTGGGGACTAGAATGATCAGTACTTATGCAAAATTGATTTGCCAAAAAATATTGTAATAAGTTTTTATTTCTATAATTGGACAAGGGAACTAAAGTTGTAATAATTTGTATTTTGTTTTGTCGTCACGGGTTCGTATTCATATTTAGTGAATTGATGAATAAACTTTAACCGTAAGCTTTGGGCTGTGTGTTAGCAATTGTAATAAAACATATTAAAAACTATTTTTGTTGTATTTATTGTCCTAGCGGTTTCGGCCTGGCTCTTATAATAAGTCCAACAACTCTCTGTAAGCGCTCACCGCCCAGTTACCGTGCTTTCACGTACTTTATTGGTGAATCGGAATTCTATTTACTAGGCAACAACATTTAAATTTCTCTGAATAATACAACCGCGCGGTCGCCTCGTAGATCAAAGACAAAGACGAGTCGGTCACGCCCGCGCGGTCGGGATGCTTTTAAAACCTAAACGTAAAAGCTAAATGTATAGAGCATACTTTGCCATGTCAGTTAGACGGGTTTATTCTTCAAATCCCCACTAGTGGGATCTTAACATTTTATTAAATTTTATTCCATAAATCCCCACTAACGTAGTACTTGCTACGCAGTGGAGATTTGTGGAATAAAAATCCCCAGTAAGATATTATTTTATATAATTTTATATTTTTTTAGGTGACAGGTTTGTGGTTGGCAAAAGATGCATATTTTGATTTCCAGCACTAATGTCGCGTCAATATCACGACACATAGGTCAATATAGAGTTTTACTTAAATTTAAAACGGAGTTTCGAACTTCCTTTAAAATATTGAATTATTCTTATTTAAGAATAGTTTTATACATTTGTATACTCAAACAATTTGTTCTATACTCAAAGAAAAGTTAACTGTCGTTCTATTAAAAGGGTATTCAAAGTGTCTTGTAGTCTATTTATCATAAAATATTGTTGTGGTATAACATTGTATCGTGTGTTTCGGTTTAAAAATAACACGAGTAAAACAGGTTTTTACTTATTGTTAAACGAATGGCGCTAGTATGTGTACAGAACAAATTATTTAACCCGAAATTACAATTAGCTGTGTTACTATTGGCTAACATTTTTGGCCTGCCGCTCGTAATTGGTTGATAATTTTACGGCTCTTGCATCCCTTGCAAGGTAGCCACCTGGAGTGCTAATATTTTGTTAGTTTCTTAATTTAGTCACTTTTTACAATTGTGAACTGTGCGTCTACTTACATTTAAATAATTAATTTGAACAAATTTTTATGGACTTGTTGATTTTACTTATTATTTACATTTTTCAATGTTGTGTTTTAGTTCTATAAGTATTCTAGTGAATTATTGTAAACACGTATGTTTTTTTAAAAAACAGTCAAAGTTTTAAATCAATGGCCGTTTATTAAGTCACTTTCTAAAATTGCGAACAGTGTCTCTACTAAATGATTATTGGCTATTTCATGTTCCCGTATGCAAGCAAATAAAAAACTTTCACAATTTTAAAAGAACTTTGTTTTTATTATATTATGAAAAAAAGACTACAAAAACAGGTAACTTTGTAGTAGAAGTAACAGTAACTAGTGCTTGAAATATATTTGTGGAAGATTTAGTTAACTTCTTTACGCGTTCAAGGGCAAAAAAAAGAAAAGTGTTTGACTTCATTTTCAATTTAAGGAAAACACATCCGGAACAGTCTGTATAAAATAATATCTTAGTGGGGTGAATTCGCTTTCCGAATTTCAATGGTACTTTTTGAGTGATTTTTGTAAAACCCTTTTTTCTTTTGTATTTAAGGTCTGTACAAATAAGTTCAAGCAATGTCAATAATTATAAAATCACAGAAATATTTTTAATTTAAATACAACAAAAAACTATATTTTAGGTCACACGAATGAGATTGCAGTAACACGAATGATTTTCTTATAAACATAAACGAAAAAGACGGCACATTATTAAATAATACAAGAAATTATTATTACAACACACATTTTATCGTTCACAAAAGAACATTTAACATGTAACAAATATTTTAATATAACTTCTTGTATCAAAACCCTTCTCATCTATATAAGACCATCTATTTATATATAATTAATAAATCTAAAGAAGTATTTTGTTAATGTCATATAAACTTAGTTGTATATCAATATATCATCATCACCACCATCAACATCATTATCATGATCACCA